TGCAACCATCATCATGTGTTCGACTCAACCATTAAGTGTCCATCCAAGTACAGGAGATGGAATTTGTGGTCAAATATCTTTTGCTACCCCATATTGTAGGGATCTGTGGGACTAGAACATGGGCTTGTAGTACCTGGGACAGCTGATGGTTCCACATCACCACTAGGAAGTCATGCAGAGTTAAATCCAAAGATCACTGGGAGACTGGCACCGTAGGAAGTACCACCCAAAAGATCCAGAGTGCCAGCACCCAGCAGCCTTGTAATTAGACCCTCGCCAATATTTAACCCTGGAGGGTGGACGTCAGGAGGTGTTGTGTGTCCAAGGCCAGCAGTACTAGTGGCAAGAGTCCAGGGTTCCCTTTCCTAGCAGTTACAGGCTGAGGTGGGGGGCAGGGGAACAGGAACCCAGGCCAACCCTGCTCTACAGGGGTTCCAACCCACGACCTTTCAAAGCAATAGTCCATACACGTGACTTAGGGACTGGCACCCTCCAGTTCCCTGGGTCACTTCCTAGCCCTCAGCTTCTGTTCCTCCATCAGCACCATGGGTCTGCCTTGGGATCCTGCTTGACATCCTTGCAGGTCCATCTCTGGAGCACCATCCACTTCTGGCAGCCACTCATCCCCCTGGCTCCCTGCAGTTGAAGGGTCTGCAGCAGCTTGGCTGTAAGACCAGGTCCTGGCTGCTTGGAGCCCTGGCAGCTTCTCTGCAGGATACTCCTGCACCCAGCTGCTCTCCTGCTCCATCCACCGAGATTCAGCTGAGCTGTTCCTTTTTGAATGCTCCCTTCACTGGGAGTATGCCCAGCAGAGGTGAGGGGGCCTGGGTTCCTGTGTCCATGGTAGCTCCTTAACCCTTGTGTCATCAGTGCAGGGTTGGTACACCCCGTCACAGTGGACCAGGAAGTTCGGGCAATCACACAGACATCTGTCCTGTGGTGATTCTAGCATTGGCCTCGCCTTGCCTGCTGATGGCCAGTCTCTGACCCCAACCTGACTCTTGCCTATCAATCCTGGCTCTAGTGATTGCTCTGATCCCGGCTTGCTGATTATGGCCTTGTGGCTGTCCTTAACTTTGGAACCCCAACCCAGCTGTGACTGCTAAACCAGACTGCCCATGCCCTGGTCCCTTAGACAATTGCCTAAATTTGGAAAGGCTTTTCCTATGCAGGGTGATTAGTGTCCTTCTCCCCTCCCTGTAATGTTTCTGTGATAGACTTTGAGGTAGATTCTACATTGTAATATGTTGGTGTGTATGTTTAAAAAAATCTCCTTGTTACACTGGATTTTTGTTTACTCCTTATGTTTGTAACCATTTTATTTGTGATTTAACAACTTTGGACACACTGCTGCAACTGTTCTAGTTTTGTCAGGTGTGGGGAAATCTATCATATTATCTAGCTTTTGGGGGGGGGGGGGGAATTTGTAGCCGAGGCACTGAACTAGAACTTACGGATTTGGGTTGTCCTCCAAGCTTTGCCACAAACTTCCTGTGTAAGCTAGGACAAGCTCACTAATCCCTCTGTGCCTTCTCTGCCCAGCAGTAAGAGAGATAATAAGGATTCCCTACCTTGCAGAGCTGTTGGGAGGATAAATTCATTAATGCATGTGAAGTGCTCAGATACTACAGTGATGAGCATCATAGAAAACCCTATTGGTTTTTCTCAAAGGTAATTATAAAAGATTCTTCCCCTTTGCCCACAGGGTAGGATAGATCCTACCCTTGCCCATAGGGCATAATAGATCACAGAGTTGGAGATGGCTTGTTTTTATTTTCATGATTGCTTTCCCTACCAAATGGAGAAGGTGACTTGAGGCCATTGTACCTCAGTGGTGGGTAGGTGTATGCTACCTACTGAGGTATGGTGACTTAATGGTGCTGTGATTTGAGATCAGCATTTTCCAAACCTACTCACACATAAAGAGCAGAGATTCAAGGATGGAGGAATCTGTTAGTTACTATTGCTGCTGTCGGAGAATAAAAATGACAGGCAGAATTTCCTTTACAAAGCAGAATAAAATAGATATTGACTGGTTTTCCTTTTTATAGTGGCAAGCAGTTATCCTTTGGGCTGAAAATTATTCAGTGAATAATCATGATCAAAGACCTGTTGTGGCTCACTTTTTCTACCCATATGGGAAATAGTGGTGTGTGTGTGTTAAACTATAGACTCAAATGCTAATATTTCTGTAACACAAACACAAACGTTGTTCTGATTAGAATGCTCACTGCCTGGGCACTTCTATGTAGCCTGCTCTCTTTGAAACCCTGCCTTTTTTCTGACTTCACTTCCTGAATCTGCTGACAACGCTCACTGCCAAGCAAAATACATGTCCACAATGCTGTTGTTTGAAAAATATTCCCTTGCGAGTACAGCTGGGGCAACAAAAAGTTTCTCTCTAAACCTCAGAGAACTGACTATCTCTTATATGAGCAAGAAATAGTATGCATTAGACAATATGTAATCTCAACATTTAAGCAAATATTGAATTGCTGCATTTTTCCTTCAAGTCTTCCCTTATACTTGTGCCTAGGGATCACTGAGAGACCTAAAAAGCGTGATTAGATTAAAATTCAGCAGAAGTGAATCAATGTAGTGACAGACTGGCAATATTAGAGACTCTTCTCAAAACGGACACTCCCTCTGCATACCCTGTAAGCTTGTCCTACCTGTAGTGGCCTGGTGTCTCAAAACTGACCTCAAGACACCAGCGGGAAACTTTAATATACTGTCCATCCCCTATTCTTCCCTTGGTCCCCTGTGAGAATGCCTACTAGGACGGCAGGTAGGCCCAGGATTTGTGGAAATCAGTGGAAATCAATGGAAACTAGGAGTCTAAATACCTTTGAGGATCTTGGCCTCTTGTGATAATGGATTTTGTGATGTGCACACCTCTGTGTCGCAAACTGGACTGAGACAAGCAACTCATTTCACAGGAGCTAGTGAACAACTATCCAACCCTGGACATATTCCTGGTTTTGCTACTACTAATCAAGCTTTTTCCTATGTTATCAAATGTCATTTATGAGATAGAACACACCATAACTGTAACGTTAAGTGTGTGTATTATGATGAATGGGTGGGGCAGTATGTCATGCAGCTGTGTCTAATTAAAATAGAATTTTGGAAATATTTGTTCAGGGGGGAAAAAACCTTACATGGTTAAGTAAAAGCCTCGTTAGTAGGATCTCTTCCATAGCACAACACTGTCAAGAGTTAAACCTATACCTTTGCAGGTAATTAATCTTCTTACCCTGCTTATTTTGCTAGTTGGCACTTGTTAAGTCCCTGCAAAGTCACACCCAGCAATGCTGTGTATTATCCTTCTTTCTATTTCTACATATGGTCAAAATCAACTTACCTTCCGGGATGCTGACATCAGCAAAATGTACTCTTGGCAAACTACAGCATCCTCCCAGTAACCCTTTGTTTGGTAAGTGTTTGTTACAATTTTATGTCTCTGGTAGCTTGAGTTTCTATTTGCTACTAATAACTCCAGCTACCAACACATGTATAATGAGGGAAACATTTACTATAGTCGTATAACTTATAACAATCCATCATGCATATGATTTGATACCCAAGGATCTATAACATGGGCAAAGGATCCCCTTTCAAAGGAAATATATATGTATGCTATACAGGGAAACATATCTTGAGCTCAAGGAGTAGCAAAAAGTTTGTGTGTGTGTGTCAGTTTCACTACCACTTAATACCAGTATGTATTATGTAGTTTTATTCTGAGATGATGTTAAGCAAGACTGTCACCTTATTTCGTGTTGTACTCACTTATTTGTATTTTAACTAATTAGACAAAACTTTCAGGCAGACTACTATAAAAATATTAATCATTTATCAGAACTATAATGTCTATAATTAGTGAATTAAACTTTCTGCCTATCTTTTCATAGCATCTGTTATCTCTTAGATATACGGTTTTAAAATCACTCTAAATACATTTATATAAACCAGAGCATTTAATTGGATACAGAGCCAGTAAGCTGAAAATCCTGAAATCATAAATTATATTATTTACCACAAAACTGGGTTTATTTCAGGAGATGAGTTAAGTGACTTCTCAGCTACTGCTTATGTTCTCATTCTATTATCAAAAGTATTCTCATACTTTCATTTTTTAAATGTAAATTGAAAATGACAGGTAAATTGTCAATTTCTTTTTTTGTCCTTTCCGAATGTTTTGCTTTTCATTTACATCCTAATTTTCAATTTATAGCTACCTCTGTTCCCCCATTATGTTAAATTTCCCTAACTTTCATATTGGTCAATACATTTTAGTCAGCAAAAGTGTCTAAAAGGGAAAGGAATTCAAGATATGAAAAGGGGTTATAGAATGATTTTATTGTGACAACATAAATATTAACGAACAAAGACCACCTCTTATCTAGGAATAATTAGACAGTAATGAAGGCACCCATATGAAGGATACATTTTTTGTGAAGTCACCTACCTTAAAGATATTGTTGGGGATATTATTTTAATAAGTATTTATTTAATATTAAATAGACAGTTACAGTTCAAACTATTCTAGCACAGGGCAATTTGATACAATGGCAAACTCCTCCAAACTGCTTAATTTTTAAAAGTTATTGTCTACATTGTGCTTTTGGGTTATGGTAGGCAATCCAATCCAAATTAAATCCATAACACTTAAAATGCATAAACTACTTCTGTTTATGTTACAGGGTGTGGTTTTATCTTTCCACTTCTGACACATTCTCCAGGACATCTTCTTGTTACAGTGTAAGTTTAACACTCTCTACCATTTAAAGTTCAGTGTATGTGATAGAGTCCTGATTTAGGTACTGGCAAAAGTGGGGGAGGAAATGCATTTTTAAATACTTTTATATATAATAGAAGCTTTCTGGACTTTTTTCAAAAACATAAAAAAATTATATACTTTATTACAAATGGTAAATTCAGAGTGCTCAAAAAACCCTCATTTACAAACATTACTGGACAGAACACAAACATAAAAATAATTTACAAAGTCATGAAGTAGTTTATTGACATTAATCAGCTTTCATAAAATAAAAAAAAAATGTACATACACAATTTACTTGAAGGCAGGCAGTATAGTTCAGTTTATCAGCCTCCCACAAACCTCCCTCCCAGTTGTGTTTTCTTTAAGAGTATTACAGAAAGCAACCTACAGTCTCTATTGCAGTTTAACCTTTAATACTGAATGATCATCGAATGTTAGGTCCATGCAGGTCTTGGTCAATATTAAACAAAGATCTGATGTATCATCTGAGCAGGAACAGCACTTCTCAGAGTGGTGCTGCTTTGCCAATAGCTCAATTGAATGCTCGCCAGTCTTTCCACACATGTGCTTTGTGGGGTGCAAGCAGGACTCAATGCCTCTCAGCCTTAACCATTAGCTTTATGTATCTGCCACTTGTTATGGGTTTGTTTTTTCTGTTGCTCTACCGCAACATCATAGTTCTTTTTTTCCCAAGTCAGTCTCTTCAAAATGTTTGCAACTGTTGTGTTAGCATTAGCTGGCATCCACTGTTGACATGGTTCATGACCTTCTGCTTAAGCTGTGCAACCTGTTCTCTGAGCATGTTGGCAGTGGATGCCAGTTCTGAGTTCTGGGCTTTCAAAGTTTTCACTTTTTCTTCCAATCTGGCAATCCTTTCCAACTTCCTTTTCCGGCATTTGGAGGCTGCAATTCTGTTTCTCATGCGCTTCCTCTCAGCCTTGATCCTCTCCTGTGACTCCATATCAATGGGGGACAGTGGAGGAGTCTCCCCTGGCATTTCAGGTACAGTCTGGGGCTCCTCTTTCAAAGCTTGCAGCCTGGGATGCTGCACTGGCATCGGAGGATTAATATGATGCTGAGGTGGATAGCCCATGTTATTTGCATTGTAGTTAGGTGCTGTGCTGAGTGCACTTGGGTTAAAGTTGCTGAGATTGGCATACACTGGAGGCTCGCTGTGCAAAGTGGTGTTGAAACCATTGTTGCCAGCCATAGAAGAAACAGGTGTCATACCACTGTTAACGGGCTGGGCAGCAGATGTAACACTGGGCATCGTATTCTGGTTGTGTAGCTCTGCCAGTGCCCTCACAAAGCCTTCAGCAAACCCTTCTTGCTCATCAGTAACATTTTTGGGACAGAGAAACTGTGTTGGGGTGGGAGTGGTGGTGATCAAGCCATTGCTGGACTGGATGATGAGCCTTTCCAGTTCAGGAGATGCCAGCTTGAGGAGACCAACATCTGGGGAGGTAAGAATATCAGCATTCTTGTTCCTCAGGTGGGGCTTGAGGTTGCTTGAAGGATCAGCCAGATTTAGAGTCATATTCTGCTTCAGGACTTTAGGATTATTATATCCATAACCACCACTTTCTGGCTGTACAAAGGTAGCATTTAGGGCATCATCATAGAATGTAGGTTCCATCTTTGCAGTCATAGAACACAGTCCACAAAACTGGCTTTAAAGCAATAACAATTAAGCAGCGCCCAACGCGTTTGTTTTTTAAGTCCCGTTCAAAGAAAGTTCACCTTCACTTTAAACTACTGCTAGTGTAACTCTTTCAACAATGAAAAAGCCTTTTAAAACAATCAGTAAGGATGAACTAAAGTCTTACTTTTGTGGCCACCGTACAAGTGGCTTGAGTGTCTTTCCCCTGTTTCTTCAGCGCATCAGGGCTGAACTTTTTCAAACCACCAGAAGAGTCCGTCTGAGAATTGGGTCGCTGAAGTCCTGGGGTCGGGTTCTGGGATCTCGCTCTCGGCTGAGACTCGGGCACGGAGGAGAAATCCAGTCTCTTGCTTTACAGTTTCACTCCGGAGTAAGTGTCCGAGGGGCAGGTTCGCCTCCTTCTCGCTCGCTGGGAGGGTCAGAAATCCGGTCACTTTTCTGTCCCCTTCTCCTGCTGCGGGGCTAGCTGGGGAGCGCGCTGCAGCGCCCGGCCACTTGTCTGAGCGCTTCCCCGCCGCCTCCCTCTCCGGCGGGCAGTCCCGGGGCTCGCAGCGCCGGACCCCGCGGCGCAGAAGTTGTCCCAAGTCCTTTCCCCTCCGCTCGCTGCCCGCGGCAGGCGCCGTCTGGGCTCCCGGGTGCGGAGAAGTTCCGGGGTCCGAGCTGGCCTGGTCGCTGCCGGGAGCCGCAGCAACGCGAGACGCCTGGCCGCTGTCTGTGCCTTGCCCGCCTCTCGGGAGCTGCTCTCTGCGCTGCCGGAGCGGGCCCGCCGCCGCTGCTGCCTGGAGCCTGCCGCACACTCTGAGCCCTTTCCCGGCGTGCAGCCCAACACTTATCAGCGAGCAGTAACCCACCAAAAATAGCCCATGATGTCACCCCGCGGCCTTCCCATTGGCTGCGGCAGCCTCTCCGGGGGGTGGCGGGCCGCTGGCCCGGCCTGCTGCAAATGCGCCGGTCTCCATGGTCACCCCACCCCTAGAAGCTTCTCAGCATCGCGCAGGGCACTGTGGGATGAGGTAATGCTCGTTCTCAGCGCGGGGCATTGTGGGCTGACGTATTGTTTTTGAATATCTGGTTACCCGCTGAAGCGCTCCGGTGGGGTTGGAGGATCTGGGCTGGAAGGGGGAGCCTCCTTAATAGGCAGGCACCAAGTGGTGGACGGAAGGGGGGTGGGGGCAGGCCCACAGGAGGAGACGCTGCCTTGGACACTGGGTGGCTAATGGGGTTTTAGTCAGTCCTGCGGCTTGAGCCTTCACGGTTAAATCTGTTAGCAGGGGCTTTGGTTAATCCGGGGCTGCTTGCTCGGACTCTCTTTAGGCCGCTTTCTGAGCTCCCCCCTTTTGGGATGGTACGGTCCTTAAGGTGGCACTATCGTCAGTGCGTGCAGCCGACGGAAGGCAGAAGACAGCTACGGGGAAGGGCGGGGGAGGAACCTGAGCCGCACGTGATTCCTCCCCCCGCCCCCGCCGGGCGGGCTACCGGGGGCAGCCGGGGAGCGCGGCGCTTGCGCACGTGCTGCGTGACCCTTGCGCGCTCAGGGGCTGGGCGCCGCGCTCCGTGACCGGGGTGGCGGGGAAGCCGCCGCTGTCCCGGCCGCTCTCGGGGCGGGGAGGCGACCCCCGGCTTGGCGGCTTAGCGGGAAGGCAGCAGCCGAAGCTCCCGCCAGCGCGTGGGTTTCCCTGCGGCCCCGGTTCGGGGCGATGCTCGCCGGTCTCACGCCTCTGACTTTCTCCCGCGTTCAAATCCTGGCCGGGGCTGAATCCACGTGATTCCCTCTCCCTGTGCAAGCGAGAGACGTGCCTCGCTGGCAGGCGGCAGCCCCCGGTGCGTGGGGGGGACGTGCCAGTGCCTCTCCCCACCTTCCTCCCCCCGCTGTCCGCGGGGCCCTGCCCTCTGCAAGGTGCGCCCTGTCTGGCCTCCCTGGCGCATCCGCTCTCCGAGAAACAGGAGAAAGCGTCGCGTTCACACTGAGCCTTCCCAGCCCCAAAGATCTGCCGCTCTATGCGGGTGCTGACATTGCCGTTAAAACATGGCTATATCCGCTCTGCCAAGCTCACCAGTTTGTGAGGAGGGTTCACTGGTTAATATGTATCAAGCTCTTCGGAAATAAAAGTGCGAAGTATTATAGAGGCATCACTTCATCACTGGCATGCCACCACCTCCGAGGTGGAACGGAACAGCTGCTTAACAACACACAGCGCCCTAGTCTAGGACAGGAAGTGAAGAAGACTAGTTTATCATATTGTGCATAACAGATCCATATTGCTTAGGCGCCTAACAAGTAAAACAGTTATAAAAGTTACGTGGCCAAATTATCTGTTGGTGTAAATTGCAACGGCTCTATGGAACTTTGCTAATGTACTCCCCAAGAGAATTTGGACTACCAGGTTGAATCACCTCTTATTATATGTAATACTGCAAGTTATTCATGGATTTGAACAAGTACTAAGTGAAGCATTCCAGTAATATTTTTTGTTCTAGACATAAAAATTCCTTCCATTTCCAAATGGGATTTAAAAGAAAAAATACAGATCCGAAGCAGATGTAAACGTCATATCCCACTATTTTTCTAAATGATCTCCCAGTTTCTTTTTTTCAGTTTGAAAATTCTTTTTTCTAGCACCCTCCACTTGAATTTGAGCAGTATATTAACTTGCAAAAGAGCCAGTACTGCTGTTTTTGGAAAGTAACTGGTATACAAATAACATGTACAGTCTTTGTAGCATCTGGAGTAATAGTTTATAGTGTGAAATTCTAAATCACTCCTGAACATATTGCCTACTATGTGAAGATTCTCTATGTATTGCCACAGTACATGTAACCAAGATATGTCTATGTTCCAGAAAATTTAAATTCTGTGTAGCACATAACTACAACTCCAACTATTAATTAGTTAAAAAAATCAGTAATATCATTGCATATAAATTAGTCTCTAAATCCATGATCAGCCTGTTCAATGCTAGATACATTCATTTTTAACTTATTTTTTAGCCTTTCCCTGCCTCATCAAAACTACACACAAGATGTTACAAATAAAATTGTATTCTATAAAGATACATTTCAGTTTCTCATTTGTCTGTTCAACAATGGGAAATTTTAATTTTACTTACTACCATCTCTTGTGCCATCTTTATATTCTGTAGTGTCAATGTGCAATTATCAAGTTCTTTAAAGGTTTGTCTACTGTGGGAAATTATTCTGGAAAAAGGGAGAGTGAATTTAAAGCGCTGTAGCTATTCTGAAATCATTCCCCTTGTGGACACTCTTATTCCAGAATAAGAACGCCTTTTCTGGGTTAGCTTAATCCATTATTAAACTAAACCAGAGAGAGGCCCAGATCCGTAAAGGTTTTTAGTTGCCTAATTCCCATTGAAATTAATGGGAGTTAGGCATCTAAATACTTGTAAGCATTTGGGCTAAAGGCACTTCTACTCTGGAATAAGAGTGTCTACATGGGGAGCTATTGCACAATAGCTATTCCAGTCAATTTCCTCATGTAGATAAGTTCTAAATCTTAATACAGTAGTGTTAAATACAATTGCAACAATCTTTAATTTGTCCAGGAGCACTATTTTTATCTACCTAACTCTATCTTTGCTGCTAACATTACAAAGCCAAGTTAAGATGTAATGCAAGAATATGGTTAGTGTACCGTTCAGGACTCTATTTGGACAACTTTATCTGTACGAATTGAAAAACAGGTTACTGCTCCATTGGGGTCTGATCCAACTGCCCTGTTATCAATATGAGTTTTCCATTGACTTCAGTGAGTGTTAGTATGGGTTGCTAGTATACTGTTGTGTAGGGGTTTTTTCTTATTGTTTTTTCATCCACTTCACAGCCAGGCAGGCTTTGACTTCCTTCCATTCACAAAGGTGGAGTTTCAGAACCAGACAGGGTCAAAGTAGGTCATTCCAGTTTTGCTGGGAACAAGTTGCTACCATGGCCTATTGCGAGGGCGGACACCCATCAAACACTAATCATGTTAACTGATACTCATTTAGAGGCTATTTGGTCAGTTGAGCAACACACAGTTAAGCTGGTCATAAAATGCTGAGTATACTTGGACAGCTTTGAAACCAAAGAAAAATTGACATTATTTGTTTCTTTTTCCGTTTGTTTCTTCCTGCTTGTTGCCTGTATATCATTCAACTGAAATGAGTGGTGGCTATCTGCTCAGTGGAAGATTGGTAATCTTGGCTCAGGACCCAGCTGACCAACTGAGATTCATTCAGTACCATGGAACTCAGAGTCTGTCTGTGCTGCAGCTCCCTGCCCTGGTAGACAGATACATACTAGCTCTGTTCAAGCTAGTGTACTAAAAATAGCAGTGTGAATGGTGTGGCACAGATGGTAGCACAGATTAGCCACCCAAATAAAAGTCCATCCATTCTTGTGGGTCCATACTTGAGTGGCTAGCCCAACCCTCTGCCTGCGCCACAACATTCACACTTATTTTTAGGGCACTAGATTGAGCAGAGCTTGCACATGTCTGTTTACCTGGGCTGGGAGGCAATCTCCCTGTTGCAGGGTAGACATACCCTCAGAAAATCTGAATCAGAATTAGGCCCCATTGGTGCAGAGATTTTGAGTCTTCATGGCCAGCAGCCACAGAGCTGGGAATTTTGGGTGAATAGATCCCTGAATCAGCTTATTACTTTAGGCCTCCTCCCCCCTTCCTGATCTCCTAAAGTAAATAGTGTAGTGAGATGAAAAAACACTTACTGAGCCATTTGTAGATGAAATCCATTTATATGCCCGAGTAAACTTACTTGTGGGTAGGAACTGGAAATTAACTATATATTCCCATTGATGTGACAGGCAGATGCTTTGACCAATGGTAATACAGATTTTGATTTATAGAGATTTCTAATCAATCAATACAGGGCTGCATGAAGCAATCAGATGATCTGAATAATTAAATGGCCTTTTCAGGGACAAATTAACATTTTTCAGACACAGAATGGGTCAGTGACTGTGTTTTCACTTTTACAGTGAGCCCTTCTTTTTTTTTTTTTTTTGGCAACACTCGCAGAAGGAGTCAGGCACTTTGAAAACTTAAATATAA